TCTCACACACACACACACAAACACTCACACATACACACACACAAACACACATCTACTCATGTACAAACACGCACTTGCGAATCTAACTCATCCACCCAACTACTCTTCCATACACTTGAATTCAAATATATTATGTATCATACAATCACATTCACTTTCGTGCACCCCCCTTTTCACCCATATTCCCATCCCCTTGTTTTTTCAACATAAGTCTACGTTAGAATAAGGCAGACAGACAATGAGAAGGGTAGGATCAGACAAAGCCCATTGCTAAGTCTTTCAGACTCGCTGGGACAATGAAGTGTGGGTTAATAACTCCTCTGAGGGTAGCCAGTAATGGTTACAAGGAAACAAGGGGAGCTAATTGGTTTTTGAAGATGGGCGAGAGGAAAGACGAAACGAGACAGAGTTATTACAGAGGGTATCGTCAAGTCGCTTGGTTATAGAATAGTTGCAAGGCTTGGTTATATTCGGCTAATTATTTTAGAGAGCTTGTAACTTTACCTCGAATAAGTCGGGAAGCATTACCCAAGACACTCACGCATTCTAACCATTACCTAACGGCTCGAGAGCGGCTCTAAAGAGTTTTTTGGGGAATACCTAAACAAAACTGTGCTTATTTATTTGTTTGTTTATTTATTTATTTATTCATGCATTTTTATAATCTTTAATTATATTCTTCTAATTATTTTAGAGAGCTTGTATTTTTACCTCGAATAAGTCGGCAAGCATTACCAAAGACACTCACGCATTCTAACCATTTCCAAACTGCTCGAGGGCTGCTCAAAAGTAGTGCTTTTGGAATACCTGAACAGAACTGTGCCTATTTAGTCATTCATTCATTCACTCATTCATTCATTCATTCATTCATTCATTCATTCATTCATTTTAAAATTTATTAATTTATTTTTTATCTATCTTACGGGGTAGACTTCCAAGTTGGGGTTTTGTACTCTGTATGATTGGGGGGTAATTTTAAACCGTAAAAAAAAAAATTTAGTTGGAGTTTTAAGGCATTTGCATCACAACAAGTCATAATTATGAACCCCGGAGACTAGAGGTGTTACAAGAGGGTAACAAACACAAAAAGGAGGAGAGATAAGGACGATAGATGTTTGATAGTGAAAAAAAAAAGGAGCAAACATCACCAGATTGATCACTGCCTACCACTCAAACAAAAGACTTCCATTTCCAAAACGACTACATCTGAAAGTAAAACCCATATCAGATTAAATCCCCAAACGTCCACAGCGCACTTCCAAACAGCAAGTTGTGTCTATAGTGTTGTAAAACGCATAGTACAATGATATATTCAAACCGACACCCTGAACTTCAGGTGAAATATGTTGGCTTGTAATCGTAAATGATAAAATCAATGGTTCTATTTAAAACTGACTCGGACAGAACACTTAAAAAAAAAAAAATTAATGAAGGTCATCTCAACAATTTAAGATAATTTAGGGCGGTAGGATTCGATCCTGTCTGTCAGAACCAACGGGAGTTGAAAGGGATACAACGTCCCAGCTGCAATGCAGCATCCCAAGAAAAAGACCGTTTTTCTCAATACAAATTCTCCCTACATAAGAATAAAATAAGATAAGATAAGATAAGAAAAGATAACATACGATAAGATAAGATAAGCTTTATTGTCAGATCCTGGCACCTTGGTGTGGTGTTTCACCGCGTACACACATGTCTGCTGCGTGCGATGGGGAAGCGCCTAATAACCGCTGCAAAACTGACCCCAGACGGAACATTGTAACACTACTCTTACAAATAAGAAGATGTTCCCAATTATTTTTAGGTACGTTGGTGGTCATTAGTAATTTGAAAGTAAACTTGTGAGTGAATTCAATAAAAGTTGTACTGCCACATCAGTATTATCCTACGTTGCGGATGACCCTGGTTCTGATTAATAAAATAAGGTTATTTGGGGAGCTTTAAAGCTCCGATCAAATGGTGTCGAAAATGCAATAAAACGTATCTTCAAAACAAAACAACAATAGTATAAAACAACAATAATAATAATAATAATAATAATAGATAGCATTTGTATAGCGCATATCCCCGCTCAACAGCAGGCTCTATGCGCTTTACACTATATTATTATCCCAGCAGACCATAGAACACTCCGAAACATTCTCAGCTTCCCGGGAAGCATACAACAACAAAAGCATCACTAATACCACCACCACCACCACCAACAGCAACAACAGCAAAACACCCAACCAAAAACCAACAAAACGAAAACAAAAACAACATTTTAAAATCTCATTTTCTTCGTTTGGGTCAATAGAAGATGGATGTTTGACTCACAGTTCATGTCTCTTATATTACGACAAAAAGAAGCTACACTTGCAGCGCAGAAGGGACATCATTCTGCTATTTTAACTTTATAACGAA